GTATTCTGCACTTTTTTCACAAGTCATGTGGGTGTCTTTTAATTCTAAAGAAAGTACTATTCGATCAGCCAAAAAAAAAAAAAAAAAAAGATACATCAACGCTTAAAACGTTTTAATTTATTACTTTACAAACGGATTACAAACTTGATTAATACGTAATTAAAATTTCATATGACGTGAACCTATTATCTCACAGAATTTATAGGACTACCGCTTTTATTATCTCACATTAATTTATGACAAGGCACAACTATCATGCGTAGGATTACTGTTTCAGTATTGGGTGCCAGGCTAATAATTACTTATTTAACAAATACATTTGACGTAAACCTACTATTATGATCCCGTTTATTTAATTGATTTGAGTTTAAAATTTAAATTTTATTATAATAAAAAATTCTTAAAAATAATCATATTTAATTTTTTTACTACAGTAAAAAATTTTCATATAAAATTACATCTTAATTTAAATTAAAAATTTAAATCAGTAAACTAAATGAATCCTATATAAGTGTGTGTAGTGGGACCAAAATTTATCATCTTATACACATTAAAATATATAGCTGAAATGGTCACATCTGAACCGTTCATTGGTGTAAGTTTAACAGCAAAACACTAGTTATAATATACGGAAAAGCCAATCAATGTGGTAATAAAATTAAAAAGATTTATATAAAACGTGTTCATTAATTTTTGCCACAGTTATAATTCACAAACAACGGAAAATAACAGTATCCAAAAATAATAAATAAATTTTTACGAACAGCATCTTCTTATAACACTTTAATCACAATATTTTTATATTATTAAATGTTCTTTTAGTCACAACCTTGTGATTAATATGCCTCTAGTCACAAATTTGTGTAGTGAGTAAAACTTTTTGCCACAAACTTTTTAGTCAAGAATACTTTTTGACATGATAAACTTTTTCCCGTTATTAAAACCCTCATGGCGAAAAGTTTTAATTACTTTGATAGCTGTGACTAAATGCATATTAGTCACAAGGTTATGACTAGAAATACACAAAAAAAATTGTTGTGATTAGAAATTCATTTTTTTAGGGGATCTGTTCATTAGCGTAAAATTTAGCTGATTTTCAGAGTTAAAATTAGTACTAATACGGATAAATAATTAAACAACCAACATTTGCAAACACATCAGAAAATTTCTTTTAAGAGTTTCTCTAATAAGTCCTAAAAAGATAAACTATCAATAGCATAAGTTTTCTGGACCTACCAAAGAAGTTCTCTTTTTCTTTTAGGCTTTTTTGCATGGATACCCCTTCAATTTTACAAGTTTAGTAAATTAGTCTCTTAACTTTTTTTCTTAGCAATTCATCCTTTAAATTTTAAAATTTGTTGCATTGTTGGTCAAATTGAAGACGAAGACGTGAGTGTTTAATAAGGATAATTCTTGTCTTTTTGCATCGAATTGAACCCTTTATACACATCATGAATGAAAAATTCAAAATTTCTCCCAAAACAGTCAACTCCCAATTTCAAAAAAAAAAATCGCTCATGATGCGTATATGATGATCAATTCAATGTAAAAAGATATTAATTACCCTTATTAAACACTTACGTGGAGGATATCGTCCAAATTTTTAAATTCGTTTTCAATTTGACCAACATTGCAACAAATTTCAAAATTTAAGAGGTAAATTACCAAGAAAAAAAGTTAAGAGACTATATATATTACCAAACTCGTAAAGTTAAAAAGGTGTCCAAACAAAATAGCATTTCTTTTATGTATAACTTTCACTGCTCGATGTGGCGTTTTATATATGAGGTGGGTATACGTGTTTTGCAATGTCACAAAGATAAGCATACATGCATAATTATATCCTTCAAACGCTTCATAACACGTTGAGCATGAGGCCTTCTTCATTTTATGACTCAGGTCATAACTTAAGTTATATTGTTATAATGTTTTCTTCATATAAATTTAAATTTAATCTTTTTGCTATAGTGTTTTTTTTTTTTTTACATATACAATCCAATTCATAACTTGAGTTGTGTAAATGACTTGAGTTTCTCATTATTTTTCTGTACTACTATTCTCCTCACCTTAATGTCATTTTCTGGTTTATTTCTTGCCTTTAACCAAAACTAAAGAGAAGTGAGAAAATTACAAAAGTAGCCATAAAGGTTGAATCAATTTCCTTCCTTGTGAGTTGTGATTATGCATGAGTGTAATTTTACTAAATTCCCAACTTGATATATACCTTTCATTATCAAATATTAGTGAGGCCCCTTTTCCTGATCATGAGACTTTCCTCGAATTTTCCTTCACATTTTCGCATTTTATTAGTACATTTTTCAAGCCAAAAGAGAGAGAGAGAAAAAAGAGAGAGAAGAACGAGAAAGAAAACGTGTAGAACATAATGTACATGGAATCTAAATATCTCAAAGATACGTACAGCAACCTAATTCTTCCTCTGCCAAATGGAAACGATCAATCGGGCGAGTAGTAATTCTCAATTTGATAGTTTAATTTCTGGACTGCAAATTTCGACAAAATATGGTAAATTTTTTGTTGTGTGGGAAATAGATTAAATATGCTATTTGGCTTCAAGGCTGTATTAGCATATACAGATGTTCAAGTGTATTATGGTTGAACTTGGTTAGAGCTCATCATATGTACATGTTTTTATATGTATATAGCAATAATCAAAAAGAAGAGAAAATAAATCTTTGATGATTTCAAAATATCAAAGCTTCTGAAAAAAAAAAAAAATATATATATATATAGGAAAGGGATTGCTAAATACTAAAAAATAAAATAAAATAAAAAAACTTCTGTATTATGATAATGGTTCTAAATATACAAGTTTTTATATTTAATTCAATTTCTGAGTTGGGGCAAGTTTAGCATTATTGTACTGTTGAAATATTTATTGCTGGCTATGTTGTTAGTTAAAAGTTATAACCTGAAGTAGATAGGTAGACGTCGGTTTATTTTTATTTTTACTTTTATTTTTTGTGAATTGATGTGAATATAAAAAGCATAATTTGAGTGTTTGATCAACTATGGATTAAATTGTTGTACAGATGAACAATGACACAATGACTAAAATATATATGTTTTATTTTCTATTTATTAAAATATATATTATAAACATATATATGAAGGAGGTTTTAATAGTTACGTTTCCATTAGTAATTACCACTAAATATAAAAATTTGATGATATTGCATTTCATTGATTGCTATAAATTTTTTAGATCAACTATTTAATCTATTATAAGCATCGGATCAATATCTTATGGCTAAAACAATGATATTTATTAATGGTTAAATAATGTCGTAACTATTAATTAAATCATATATAGTTTTAGTTTTTTTTACCTTATTAATCAACATTCATATTTTTTCACACTAAAATTTTGAGAGCAAAAAGTAAAATATTTTTACCATCTCAAATGTCACATTTATGGTTTATTATTGTTATCTCAATAATATTTAACTATTAAAAACCCGAGTAAAATTTAATTATTAATTAAAGTTTAATGAAATGTTCGTCATCTTTTAAGTATACATTTTAGTTCATTTTTAGTATATTTAAACAATTACATCAAAAGCAATTGTGCCAATCAAACCAATCTCTAACCCAGTTCTCAAATTCTGTTGTAAAACAATAGTTTTTAAAATTTGTTAGGTAAAAAAAGATTTACTGCACCTTGCGTATTGACTTAAATTTTTTAGTGATTTAAAAGCGACCCCTAAAAATAGAAAAAATAGAGAATTTATTCTTAAAAGTATATGAATATGAATCTTTACTCTTTACTCTTTATAAATACACTTTTGGATCTTTACCCTTTATTTTTTATAAATACATTTTTGGTAGTGTAATTATTTGACTAAAAAGGTTATAAATTAAAAATAAATAGTAAAAATCATAACTCATACATTTTTAAGGAGTATTTGTTAAGATTTCCTCCAAAAAATAATGTGAACCAAGCCGGTGATCACATACGTAGGATATGTGGCTTCAATGATATATAGTTAACCAAAATTACCTAATTTCCAACGGTTAATTAAGAAATTATCTCAAGGTGTACTCCTAATTTCCAATATTGCACGACAATCATGATAGAGAAAACTTAAATTGGGTTTTCAATGGACCAGAAAGTAGATGAGCTTGGTTGCTTTCATTTGTCAAGATCTTCAACTATTTGGATCTTGTGATGAGTATTCCAACTTCTACGCTAGCTAGTGAGCCATAAAATGTTCAAACTTCAAGACCACGAGATCATTAAGTACTAAAGTTTGACTTCCTTCTTGTACATAAGATAGAGATTTTTTTTTTTTTTTAGAAACATAAGATAAGACATGGAGAAACATAACTGATAAAAAAACAGGGCTTCAAGAATAATTGTAAAAAAAAAAAAAAAAAAAAAAAAAAGACTTGGAGAAACATTTCTTTTTTTTTATTGAAACTTCCTCACTTTGAGAGGAGAATATTATTAAAGAAAGGAAAAATAATATAAAATAGAAACTCAATCAAGAGAATTTATAAAAAGGCAAACTCATAGCATCTCTATATATTAAAAAATTAAAAAAATCAGGACAACCTGACCCGCTCATAACACCAAAAAAAAAAAAAAAAATGATGCAAGAATTTTGAAAAACTATGGCATTAATTTGAAAATAGTCATAAAAATTTTAATTGATGAATATTTTATGATCCAAGTATATAAATTTATGTGGTGGCATTTTGTAAGCACCCGCTGTTGATATCAAAGAGGATCGCAAAATACATGTATATATGTATGCATTACAATGGACTATTCAATTTGTATGCATTACATCGTCCAACAACAACATTTGTCATCTGATAGCAAAATCTCATCATACTAAACCAATAATAGAACTGTCCAACCACTAATTATACAGCAGATTACTCATTATACTACTTCGCATCCCACATTAAAAATAAAAAATAATAATTGAATAATCATGAAAACTTGAGCAAAAATCTGTAATAAATGAAGAAGCATAGAAACAAAATTCAAATCTAAACCTTGAAATTATGATTCACATATAATTTACAAGCCGCGCGCTTCAGAGTTGTATATGCCAAGAATTCCTAGCTAGACAATGTTTACAAGACCAAATTTTTTCCTCGATAAATAATTAACGAAAATCAAAGACAAAGCCAAACAGTCGTCTAAACTATAATATTCAACGGTGGTATGGAGACACGGCCTGAGCGCGATTCTTCCGTTTCTGGAGAAACCTTTGGAGTGACCTCTTCATCGAAAGAGCAGGGGTCGGGCTATACACCGGCGACTGCATGCTCGTCGGCGTCTTTACTCTTTCCTCCATTTCTCCACTAGCAAGCAATAGTATGGCTCTAGCCTGCATTAATAAAAATGAACAAACATTTTCAATTTAATTGCCCAATTATTAATTAATTAATTTGCTCTCAATTTTTGAAGTTTAAAAAAAAACAAAACAAAAAAACACAGAAATGAAGGTAAAAGATTAAGAGAATTAGTGTATGCACCTGAAAATCTGTGACGTCACAGACGCAAATCTTTCCATTGTAGAAAATGGTGAGAGGCTGATTAGAAGTATTTGGACTACTTTCATGACTGATTAGCTTTTCCGTCCTCTGTTGGTGATCGGAATCGGTGCCCGAAGATGAAAAATAAGCCGAAGAAGTCGGTAGAAGGCTAAGTTCCAAGTTGCAGTTCCTCCTCATACTTGTTTGAATATTTGATTTACAAGAATTCTTCTTCCTGAGAGAGATTTCTGAATGTTTGATCAAGAAACTTATAATGAAGAGCTTGTTGGCCTATTACAATTGCTTTTACACTTTTTATACAAAAACAAAGAGAGAAAGGAGACAATTTGTGTTTTTTGTGTGCTGTAACTGGGTCCCACTGAAGTTTGTGAAAACTCTATTGAATTTAAAATTAAAAGCTACTACTTTTCTCAACACGTATAGCACAAAAACAACTCTAAATTCAGTCACGTGCAACACGATTTTAATCATCTTTTTGACGCCAAGAAAATACTTGTAAACCCCACGTCCACGAAAACCGCCAATAATTCTTCCTCTGCTATAATTTTTCTTTTTTTCTTTTTTTTTTTCTTTTTGCCCACCTTTTGCGTTTTCTACAGCTTTTGATCGTTTTTGGTTTTTAGAAAAAAACACGTGCATAAGTCGGCACCCTATCAACTAGTACTAATTGCCATCAGGCATTGACAAATTGGCTTTTTTATTTTTATTTTTTTTTACATTAAATACAATATTTGGAATATAAAGCTAGAATCGGCGACATGCTTAATTTTTGGTACTTCTCCCGCTTTTTCTATGTGTCGGCCTAATTAGAAATATGTGAATTTGAACCAGCAGACAGTGCACGAGGAGTTGTTCTCGTGCATATCTACGCTGACGTTAACTGTTATAGAAAATATCACATTTAATTTATGGATTATAATCATGAGATTAAAATTATTTTTTATTTATGTGTATTTTTATGAGAGAAAACATTATAACGAATCATGAATCATGATTCGAATCGAGGTACGAATCCTCCAACCAAACAACCACGTCTTGTTCTCCTTTTTTTTTTTATATAGTAAATTCTACTGTTGCATCTTATATTTTTGTTTTTCTTTTTTTCATAATATAAGTCAAATTTTTAATTTTTAAAAATTTGAGCCTCAATTTTTAAATTAGTAGCAATTAAAGTTTAATAGCTTACAATATTACTAAATTGATAGTTTAAGACACTAGATTCGCACGCGATTTGATTTGCAAAATGACAAATTTTATTTTTCATGTGTGAATCTCGTGTCTCAAACCTTCATTTTTTAATGCTAGTATCCTCAATTCGTTACTGATTTTAAAATTTAGGGTGCAATTCAAGGTAATTATATAAAAACAAAAGGCAATGCAATATGCAATTTACTTTTTTTTTCTTTTTTGAGCAATAGAGATGATATTGTTCTGTTCGATTTAATAGCTTATAGTTGGTATCTATGGTCAAAATCAACAAGAACTCTTGTCTATTCAATACTTTATCAAAGTATACAAGGCCAAAAAAGACAAATTAACTAAAGTAATCCAACACTTCTTCTTACCTTAATTAATATTGTGCTCATTAAGAAACTGATTGTTAATAGTTACAGCCTTACAGGCAGTGATTATTCCAAGTTTTATTTGTTTATAAATGGATTTTTGTCTAATTCTTAGCAAAAAGAAATTTTGTACGGTAGAATTACGGGCATTTTTTTTTTTTTTTTTTTTTTTTTGCGATAAGAAGAGAAAAAGTTATTAATAAATTATAACATATTTTTTTAAAAAATAATAAATTATAGTATAATGTGATATTATAAGTTTTAAATGTTATTAAAAACTCAAATATACTTCTAAATCTCCTTTTCGACCTCGCGCCTTTCTCTAAATATCTATTTTTTAAAAAAGTAAATTATATCATATTTTTTAAAATAGGTAGATTATAGTCAAGTCTACTATGGTAGGGACTGGCCGCCGGCTCCGACGACTGAAGATCATTTTCCGGCAGCTTGTGACCATTTTCTAGCGGCCAATGACCATTTTTCGATGACTACTTTCCGACGGCCGTTTAACATTATATTTATTGGTAAATACTGTATTTATCATTAATACCATATTTACTGGTAATACCATAATTACCCAAAAAGCCGATCACCGACTCTGACGACCGTTTAACGCTGTATTTATAGGTAAATATTGTATTTACCAATAAATATTGTATTTACTAATACTTATCATATATATCCGAAAATCCGGCCATCGACTTTAGTGACCATTTAACACTGTATTTACTAGTAAATATCACATTTATTCAAAAATTAAAGTACTAATTTCGAGGACCGTTTACTACTGTATTTACTAGTAAATATCATATTTATCAGTAAATATTATATTTACGAGTGAATATCATATTAATATGAAAATTCATTCACCGACTCCGACGACCGTTTAACAATGTATTTATTGATAAATACCGTATTTACTAATAAATACTAAATATCATATTTTTTAAAAAATCTTGCCACTGACTCTGATGGCCATTAAACACTGTATTTACTACTAAATACCATATTTATTAATAAATATAATAAATTTTAAAATTGTAACTACTAAAATATATATATATATGTAAATACAATATTTATTATATTGAAAATTATAGTTACTAAATATTTAAAAGTATTACAATATTTAGTAAACTTATAATTATTAAAATGTTTAGTAATAAACACAATATTTATCATATTTAAAATTAAAATTATTAAATTTATGACTGTTTTTAAAAAAATTTTAGTGTAGTAAAAAAATTAAATGTGACTATTTATAAAAGAGTGTAGCAAAACTCGAATTTTAAACTCAAATTTTTGTCATATTCCAAAATACAAACAAGACAAATCCAAAACATTATTCTCAGATCACAATCACAAACTCATATCCCAACCGAGCTCCGGCGAGCCCATGTAAATCGCGCTGCCAAAAAAATCCCGATTTCATCATTTCTCAGCAAAAGAAAAAAAGAAACAAAAAACAAACAGAAACTCAAGCAACGGCGAACGCCGGATCTGGTCGTCACCGTCATGAAATCTACGGCCATCCTTCCATCAGATCCGCAACAGATCGGCGACGAGAGAAGAGAGAGAACCTGAGAAGAAGATCGGCAATGGATTAGCAACAGATCGGCGACGATATCGACTACGGCGGCGACTAGAGAAGAAAGAGGACCGAAAATGCTCGTGAATCGTCGCCGGAGAAGAAGGCCGGCCTCGCGACTCGAACGAACCGGCGTCGGGGAAGAAGCCCGTCAGAGATCCATGCGCCTCAGAGCGAACTCGCGAAGGAAGGTCGCCGGAGATTGCAATCGGCGATCGCTGAAGATCTCTCTCACGCAGTGGCTTCATCGGTCGTCAAAGCCGCCATCGTCGCCGTCGTGGTAACGACAGCGATGAGGGAAGTGAGTCGGGAGAATAAGCCGCCATTGTCGCGTCTCCGATCTCCGGCAAAACCACGGCGGCAAGTTGTCCTTGAAGAGAGAGACGAAGAGGTGAGAGAGAGAGCATGCGGTGGGGGAGAGAGGTCGTGCAGGGGAGGACACATCGTGGAGGAAGAGAGAGATAGTAGTTGGGAGGAAAGAGAATCTGATGAAAAGGGAGGGAGCAAAATGAAACCCTAACAAGAGGGGTATATTTGGAAAACAATATTTATTTTTTTGGGAAAAATTAACATGCTATAATTTACTCAGTTTTAAAAAAATGTGTTATTTACTTCAAAAACATATCTAAGTTAGATATGCTATTTAGTACATTTTCCCTTCCTTTTTTTAACAAGGATAATGAGGATTGGATGGCATTATATAAAGTTGGAGTTGTAATATTTTTGAGCAATAAAGTAAAAAAATAAACCATTTGAATTAAGTAGGCTGTAATATATACCGTTCTTTAAAAAAAAAAAAAAACAATTCCCGACTGGATTAAGGAATAAAAAAAAAAGAAAAGTTTTGCAACTCGTGTCGCGTGTATCATGTGTGTGTGTGTAATAGAACAAATTAAAATATCAAGGTTTTAGATTTTTTTATTCTATGTAGATAAATGAAGTTTATAATTAATGTGCTATCAGAACATCGGAATCCTAATTATAAATGTGCCTGTTAAATATAAATTTAATATAAAACTAATATTCTTAGTACTAAAGAGTAAATATATGGATATTTGACTTAATAATTGGAAGTGTGCTGACCATAATTTATTGTGTGCCTTAACCACATCTTTAAAACATACAAATTATACGATGTAGATGTAGGTTTAGTCTAATGATAAAATTTATACTTAATTTCTAATGTTGAGATCATTTAGAGTTATAAGTGCTATAGAAAATTAAATGCCACCTCATTTGTAGAATTCATCCTGAAAAAAAAAAAAAAAAAACAAACCACTAAGCCTGAGTTAGTAGCTTTTCTTGTTCAATATTCATGAATGCTCCAAACGTGTATAGGCCTATAGTTTACTAAAAAAAATCATCAAGCATTACAGGCATAATTTGTTTTGATAAGAGCATTATAATATGTATAATTTACTAATATACATGTTTTCCATATCCACTCAAAAGTCAAAACTGCACTTGTTTAACCAGCCGAGTGTCACGGGTACAACTACACGTACAATTTATCAATTTCAAAAATAGAGTATATATGTATAATATATCTGATGTATTTTTTTTTTATTTAGGGATGTTTTTAAACTGCCACTTTTAACATTTTACTGATAAGATGATAAGCTGACGCATCGGCATGTGGAATAAAATTTAGAGGCTGCCTAACTTTCACAATGTTTAAAGTTGAATACTACTCTAGTGCAAGGTGTGTGCGTTTTTTTTTTTTTTTTTTTTTAAATTTTGTTTTATTATTATTATTATTATTATTATTATTATTATTATTATTATTATTATTATTATTATT